ATTGTTTGAATGTCCAGTGTAAACGTCATCATTCTATTGTTTGAATGTCCAGTGTGAAGTAATCATTCTATTGCTTTATTCAGTCCAAGGTGAACGTGATCATTCTATTGTTTGAATGTCCAAGATAAACGTGATCATTCTATTGTTTGAATGTCCAAGATGAACGTCACCATTCTATTGTTTGAATGTCCAAGGTGAACGTGATCATTCTATTGTTTGAATGTTCATGGTGAACGTCATCATTCTATTGTTTGAATGTCCAAGGTGAACGTCATCATTCCATTGTTTGAATGTTCATGGTGAACGTGATCATTCTATTGTTTGAATGTCGAAGACGAACGTCATCATTCTATTGTTTGAATGTCCAAGGTGAACGTCATCATTCTATTGTTTGAATGTCCAAGGTGAATGTCCAGGGTAAACGTCATCATTCTATTGTTTGAATGTCCAGTGTGAAGTCATCATTCTATTGTTTGAATGTCCAAGACGGACGTCATCATTCTATTGTTTGAATGTCCAGTGGGAAGTCATCATTCTATTGTTTGAATGTCCAAGACGAACGTCATCATTCTATTGTTTGAATGTCCAAGGTGAACGTGATCATTCTATTGTTTGAATGTCCAAGGTGAACGTGATCATTCTATTGTTTGAATGTCCAAGGTTAACGTCATCATTCTATTGTTTGAATGTCCATGGTAAACGTCATCATTCTGTTGTTTGAATGTCCAAGATGAACGTCACCATTCTATTGTTTGAATGTCCAGGGTAAACGTCATCATTTTATTGTTTGAATGTCCAAGGTGAACGTGATCATTCTTATGTTTGAATGTACAAGATGAACGTCATCATTCTATTGTTTGAATGTCCAAGGTGAAGTCATCATTCTATTGTTTGAATGTCCAAGGTGAACGTCACCATTCTATTGTTTGAATGTCCAAGGTGAACGTCATCATTCTATTGTTTGAATGTCCAAGGTAAACGTGATCATTCTATTGTTTGAATGTCCAAGGTTAACGTCATCATTCTATTGTTTGAAAGTCCAAGGTGAACGTCACCATTCTATTGTTTGAATGTCCAAGGTGAACGTCATCATTCTATTGTTTGAATGTCCATGGTAAACGTCGTCATTCTATTGTTTGAATGTCCAAGGTGAACGTCACCATTCTATTGTTTGAATGTCCAGTGTGAAGTCATCATTCTATTGTTTGAATGTACAAGATGAACGTCATCATTCTATTGTTTGAATGTCCAGTGTGAAGTCATCATTCTATTGTTTGAATGTCCAAGATGAACGTCATCATTCTATTGTTTGAATGTCCAGGGTGAACGTCATCATTCTATTTTTTTAATGTCCAAGGTAAACGTCATCATTCTATTGTTTGAATGTCCAAGGTTAACGTCATCATTCTATTGTTTGAATGTCCAAGATGAACGTCATCATTATATTGTTTGAATGTCCAAGACGAACGTCATCATTCTATTGTTTGAATGTCCAAGATGAACGTCATCATTCTATTGTTTGAATGTCCAAGGTGAAGTCATCATTTTATTGTTTGAATGTCCAAGGTGAACGTCATCATTCTATTGTTTGAATGTCCAAGGTAAACGTCACCATTCTATTGTTTGAATGTCCAGTGTAAACGTCATCATTCTATTGTTTGAATGTCCAAGACCAACGTCATCATTCTATTGTTTGAATGTCCAAGGTGAACGTGATCATTCTATTGTTTGAATGTCCAAGGTGAACGTGATCATTTTATTGTTTGAATGTCCAAGATGAACGTCATCATTCTATTGTTTGAATGTCCAAGGTGAACGTGATCATTCTATTGTTTGAATGTCCAAGGTGAACGTGATCATTCTATTGTTTTAATGTCCAAGATGAACGTCATCATTCTATTGTTTGAATGTCCAAGGTGAACGTGATCATTCTATTCTTTGAATGTTTATGGTGAACGTCATCATTCTATTGTTTGAATGTCCAAGGTGAACGTCATCATTCTATTGTTTGAATGTCCAGGGTAAACGTCATCATTCTATTGTTTGAATGTTTATGGTGAACGTCATCATTCTATTGTTTGAATGTCCAAGGTGAACGTCATCATTGTATTGTTTGAATGTCCAGGGTAAACGTCATCATTCTATTGTTTGAATGTCCAAGGTGAACGTCATCATTCTATTGTTTGAATGTCCAAGGTAAACGTCGTCATTCTACTGTTTGAATGTCCAAGACGAACGTCATCATTCTATTGTTTGAATATCCAGTGTGAAGTCATCATTCTATTGTTTGAATGTCCAAGACGAACGTCATCATTCTATTGTTTGAATGTCCAAGGTGAACGTGATCATTCTATTGTTTGAATGTCCAAGGTGAACGTGATCATTCTATTGTTTGAATGTCCAGTGTGAAGTCACCATTCTATTGTTTGAATGTCGAAGGTGAACGTCATCATTCTATTGTTTGAATGGCCAGTGTGAAGTCATCATTCTATTGTTTGAATGTCCAGTGTGAAGTCATCATTCTATGTTTGAATGTCCAAGACAAACGTCATCATTCTATTGTTTGAATGTCCAAGATGAACGTGATCATTCTATTGTTTGAATGTCCAAGGTGAACGTCATCATTCTATTGTTTGAATGTCCAAGGTGAACGTCATCATTCTATTGTTTGAATGTCCAGTGTAAACGTCATCATTCTATTGTTTGAATGTCCAGTGTGAAGTCATCATCATTCTATGTTTGAATGTCCAAGACGAACGTCATCATTCTATTGTTTGAATGTCCAAGTTGAACGTGATCATTCTATTGTTTGAATGTCCAAGTTGAACGTGATCATTCTATTGTTTGAATGTCCAAGATGAACGTCATCATTCTATTGTTTGAATGTCCAAGGTAGACATCATCATTCTATTGTTTGAATGTCCAAGGTGAACGTCATCATTCTATTGTTTGAATGTCCAGTGTAAACGTCATCATTCTATTGTTTGAATGTCCAGTGTGAAGTCATCATTCTATTGCTTTATTCAGTCCAAGGTGAACGTGATCATTCTATTGTTTGAATGTCCAAGATAAACGTGATCATTCTATTGTTTGAATGTCCAAGATGAACGTCACCATTCTATTGTTTGAATGTCCAAGGTGAACGTGATCATTCTATTGTTTGAATGTTCATGGTGAACGTCATCATTCTATTGTTTGAATGTCCAAGGTGAACGTCATCATTCCATTGTTTGAATGTTCATGGTGAACGTGATCATTCTATTGTTTGAATGTCGAAGACGAACGTCATCATTCTATTGTTTGAATGTCCAAGGTGAACGTCATCATTCTATTGTTTGAATGTCCAAGGTGAATGTCCAGGGTAAACGTCATCATTCTATTGTTTGAATGTCCAGTGTGAAGTCATCATTCTATTGTTTGAATGTCCAAGACGGACGTCATCATTCTATTGTTTGAATGTCCAGTGGGAAGTCATCATTCTATTGTTTGAATGTCCAAGACGAACGTCATCATTCTATTGTTTGAATGTCCAAGGTGAACGTGATCATTCTATTGTTTGAATGTCCAAGGTGAACGTGATCATTCTATTGTTTGAATGTCCAAGGTTAACGTCATCATTCTATTGTTTGAATGTCCATGGTAAACGTCATCATTCTGTTGTTTGAATGTCCAAGATGAACGTCACCATTCTATTGTTTGAATGTCCAGGGTAAACGTCATCATTTTATTGTTTGAATGTCCAAGGTGAACGTCATCATTCTTATGTTTGAATGTACAAGATGAACGTCATCATTCTATTGTTTGAATGTCCAAGGTGAAGTCATCATTCTATTGTTTGAATGTCCAAGGTGAACGTCACCATTCTATTGTTTGAATGTCCAAGGTGAACGTCATCATTCTATTGTTTGAATGTCCAAGGTAAACGTCATCATTCTATTGTTTGAATGTCCAAGGTTAACGTCATCATTCTATTGTTTGAAAGTCCAAGGTGAACGTCACCATTCTATTGTTTGAATGTCCAAGGTGAACGTCATCATTCTATTGTTTGAATGTCCATGGTAAACGTCGTCATTCTATTGTTTGAATGTCCAAGGTGAACGTCACCATTCTATTGTTTGAATGTCCAGGGTAAACGTCACCATTTTATTGTTTGAATGTCCAAGGTGAACGTGATCATTCGATTGTTTGAATGTCCAAGATGAACGTCATCATTCTATTGTTTGAATGTCCAAGGTGAACGTCATCATTCTATTGTTTGAATGTCCAAGGTGAACGTCATCATTCTATTGTTTGAATGTCCAAGGTGAACGTCACCATTCTATTGTTTGAATGTCCAGGGTGAACGTCATCATTCTATTGTTTGAATGTCCAGGGTAAACGTCATCATTCTATTGTTTGAATGTCCAGGGTAAACGTCGTCATTCTATTGTTTGAATGTCCAAGGTGAACGTCACCATTCTATTGTTTGAATGTCCAGTGTGAAGTCATCATTCTATTGCTTGAATGTCCAAGGTGAACGTCACTATTCTATTTTCCACGACGACGGTCGTTATAGTTATTGTAAGTAAATGAGTTAAATGAGTCACATCGTCAGTATCTCAGCCATGCCGTGACAATAAAAAGCCATACATTAAAAATAAATACATCGAGACTATATGAAAACCTGCCAACGAAGAAAAGTAAAACAATTGCGTTGATCGATGCCCATGATGTCAATCACTGGATTTTCTGGTCGAGTCGATTATTTACAGACCGCCGTCGTATAACTTGAATATTGCGGCGTTAAACAACAAACAAACAATATTCTAGCTATACTATTGGGGATTGTCATCTTGGTTAAAGCTGTCCTTTTCCTGCTAGATTGAGAATATTGAAGCAACATTTTTATGTGTGTTGAAAGTACTGACAGAGGACAGATAACTTTAGTTTGCAAGAATGTCGAAATTTAAACGAACATCACAAAACTGTTTATTTCACTAAATGAATGCATTTCATTACAGCATCTGGAAGCGATGACATAAGCATGTGCGACTCAGAGGGATCGATGTCATCCGGTACCCAGAATTCAATAGTGACCGTAAACATTGACGATTTATTGAACGTTATTGATGATGAAGATTTCGATCCGGACGAAAGGGACAGAATTCACGATCTACAGACGTTTCTTATGAAAATATGCCACATGGGACTCGACAACTACGGTGAACGTGCCATTTTGGACTCACTGGACGCAAAGACCCCGGATTATCACGCTCAAGATGCTCAAGGAAGGACAGCGCTGATGCATGCTTGCATTGCCAGGAAGTCAAACGTTGTGCAGTTTGTGACGTCACGGTGTAGTGACGTCACACAGCGAGACAATGACGGAAATACGGTGTTGGTGTATGCGATCCGGAGCGGGGACTCTGATATAATAGAGAACATACTTGATTGTGATCTAACAACATATGAGCTACTCAACGCCAAGAACAATATAGGTGATTTTAATGTTTAAGTATTAGCTGACTTTCTCAATACACTTTGAGTTCCTCAATACCCGTACCCATGGAGCTTCTCAAATGGAATAGGTCCCAGCAACCTGTAGACCCGTGAAGACCCGGGGTAGAATAGGTCTTCAGCAACCCATGCTTGCCGGAAAAAGGCGACTATGCTTGTCGTAAGAGACGACTAACGGGTGGTCAGGCTCGCTGACTTGGTTGATGCATGTCATCGATCCCAATTGCGTGGATCGATGCTCATGATATAATCACTGGATTGTCTGGTACAGACTCGATTATTTGGCAGACCGCCGTCATATAACTGGAATATTGCTGATTGCGACGTTAGACAACAAACCAAATCCAGCAACCTATGTTTGTCGTTACGAGTAACTGGCTCGGGCGGACAGGCTCAGTGACTTGGTTGATTGCATGTCATCGTATCCCATTTGTGGATATCTTTGCTCATGATGTCAATCGCAGGAATTGGTTTTATCAACGTCAAATACTCAATTCACTCAACTGGGATACGACGAGATGCAATCAGTCAGGTCAACGAGCTTTGCCACTCCGTAAAAGGCGACTATGCTTGTCGTAAAAGGCGACAATGCTTGCCATAAAAGGCGACTATGCTTGTCGGAAAAGGCGACTAACGGGATCGGGTGGTCAGGCTCGCTGACTTGGTTGACGCATGTCATCGTATCCTAATTGAGAGGATTAATGCCAAAGCCGAGTGGATTGATGTCAATTACTGGATTGTCTGGTCCAGACTCGATTATTTACAGACCGCCGTCAAATGGCTGTAATATTGCTGAGTGTGGCGTAAAACAACAAAACAAAACCCACGTGTCTTCGCCAAAGTGGTAGGTGTCTCCATCGTGAGTCACTCTCAGCTTTGCGTGGACACGCCTTAAAGAGGCGCTGAAATAAGTCCGTTCAGTTTCGATGCATGACAATTCCATGAAAGTATAGTGGTGCCACTTTGGTACCATCGTGTTAATTTGTTTTAATTCAAAATTTCTCGTTATTTCATTTTATTTTTAAAATACGTTAAAATAAGTTTCCATTTATTGACATAACAAACATGATCAAATTACGAGAAAATATTCGAAGACTCGAGAAAAAGTTCGAAGTTTCACGTTTTTAAGTAAACTTGAAATAGCGAGAAAATAATCGAAATTGCGAAAATATACTCGATGTAACCTGAAAATAATCGAAATTTCGAAAACAACTTTGAAATAACGAGACGTTTCAGTTTACAGGAAATTGCTACCAAAGTGGCACCATTTGGATTTCGTACTATTGAAAAAAGCTTACAGTGTCGGATGTTTGTTTTTGGAGCCAACTAATGCACCTGGGAATCCCCTGTCAGAAGTGTCCCCAGCAACCATGCTGGTCGTAAGAGGCGACCTAATGCATCGGGTTGTCAGGGTTGCTGACTTGGTTGATTGTGTGTCATGGTACGCCGACGGCGTAGAACGTTTTATATGATGTCTATCACTGGATTGTCTTGTCCAGACTCGATTATTTAAAGATCGCCGTAATAAAGCTGGAATGAAACTCAGTGCGGCGTAAAACAACAAACAAAACTGTTAGGGACCACTTCAGTTGGGATCGAACCGACATGGGTGATTGCGTGTTATTTCACAACGATAGGGGCACGGGTGGCAAAGTCGTCTAAGGCGCCGCGATTCGCTGTGCAGACTTGCATCCCTTGGGCACGCCAGACACCTATGGTTGTGGGTTCGAATCCCGGTTCGCCCCGATAATGTTTCTAGGTTTGTCAGCACCATACCCGTGCTCGTGGGTTTCACCGAAGTGGTAAACGTCTGAGACCTGCATCACTTCGGGCTTTCCTCCCACATTAAGCTGACACGCCGTGATATAACTGGAATAATGTTAAAAGCGGCGTTAAACCCAACTCACTCACTCACTCACTTACAACGATGGTATGGATCGATGTTCATGAGTTCAGTCACTGGTTGTCGATTATTTAAAGATCCACGTAATGTAGGTGGAATAAGGCGACAAATTATGTGTTTGTTTGTTTGTCTGTCTGTAGTGTAACGCCGCACTCAGCAATATTCCAGCTATATGACGGCGGTCTGTAAATAATCGAGTGAGAACCAGACAATCCAGTGATTGATATCATTAGCTTCGAACCACGGAACTGGAATACGATGACATGCATCAACCAAGTCAGCGAGCCTGACCACCCGATCCCGTTAGTCGCCTCTTACGACAAGCATGGTAGCTTAAGGCCTATTCTATTCTGGGATCGCGCCGACATGGCTGTGGATTGTTTTCTATCATTAGGGGCGGTCGGGTAGCCTAGTGGTTAAAGCGTTCGCTCGTCACGCCGAAGACCCGGGTTCGATTCCCGACATGTGTGAAGCCCATTTCTGGTGTGCCCCGTCGTGATATTGCTGGAATATTGCTAAAAGCGGCGTAAAACCATTGTCACTCATTAATTATCATTGGTTGTGCCTTGTTTAGACTAGATTATTTACAGATAATTCTCACATAGCTGAAGTATTGTTTAATGCTGCTGTACGCAATATTCACTCGAGACAACTTTCTGTCTATTCCAGGTTTGACAGCAATGGATGTCGCCCAGAAGAAAGGAGACCCACACATCATACAGTTGCTGGAACATCGCAGGCCCGCCCACCCCAGTGTCAAACAACTTCGGAAGCGGACGGACAAAAGACAACCTCGGCTCCCTCCGGCGGCTGTTCCAACTGCGAGTAAACCCCTGTCGTTAAAGTCACATAACACCAACGGGAATCCCCGCCTGCCGTTCTACCACAGCAAGTCATTGGATACAAGCGACCATGTGACTAAACGTCATCTTCCCGAACGAGGTTTTTCAGCTGACCGTGCACCTTTTCATCAAGCTCAATGTACCAGTGATACAGAGTTACATCGTCAGTCCGACAGTGCCGCATACGATGACGTCACACCTCGGGATAATGACGTCACACCCCGGAATGATGTGTGCAGTGACAGAGGTCAAATGTCAGGTCTGCCTCAAATTGCTTCACGATTTGTAGAGAAGGCAAGACATATTGACAGAGGTAGATCTCGCAGAGACTCAGTGTCGTTACCGGATCTACGAGATTTGAATGGGATGTTAGTGTCGTCAGGAACGACAACTCCCTTCTCACGAAATGGGAGCCGTTTGACTTTAACATCACAAGAATCTTTAGACGAAGATGTCTTTGCGGAGGACGCTCAGAAAAGGAAAGATTCTTCAGTTAAGAAATTGCCTGTTCTTATCCCCAAAAGGGTCCTTAACTTAGAAGCAAGACAAAGGGGTTTTGCAAGGACGAGAAAGAAATCAAACAGTACTGAAGATTTTATTCACAACAGTATATTATTTTAAGCCGCAGCATTAGGAGGTCAACCATAAAGTAAAAGATTGATGGGGTTGTAGAGGAAGCGAGGGCTGGGGGCTGTGTTTCGATTACTGTTTAAATCGATCACGCAATATATATGTGTGACAGGAGAGGGTGTGGAGTCTGGGAACATATGACTTTCCCTCTTTTGTAGCTCAACTAACTGAAGGTCAAGAGCGTCCATGTCGTGGTCCGATGGTCCATCGCCCCACGTGCGCCGTCCGCCCGTTGCATACGTCTTCTCTTCAAGTTCCACTGGACCAGGGAAGCTGAAACTTTACTTATTCCCACCTATGATGACCCCCCAACCCCCACCCCACCCCCCCACCACCCATCCCCCATGTTTGTTCAGAGGTTCGAATCTGATTTCAAAGTGGCTACAATGACAGCCACACTAACAAAACATTTTAATGGCCAAATGTTATGAAATTTGGTGTGTGCGCAGTTGGTACTGAGGCTCAACATATATGCTCCCGTGTTTTTCAATATTTGAAATGTTTACCGTGTTTGACCATGCTCTTAAATTGTCTCGAAATGCATAGTTTCATCTGTAAACTTATCCTTAGAAATTGACAGAATGTTGGAGTGAAACATTGCCTCATACTTTTCTTCTTAAATGTTTTGTTCAGTTCGTCTAGGAGATTAGAACAAGTAATTGTTCGTGTTATATTATCCGTAACATCGGCAAAAGAAAGAATACACTTGAAAAATGTGACCAAATCATTATACACGTGATCAAAACGTTACTAGTTTGAGTGAGTTAGTGAGTATGGTTTTACGCCGCTTTTACCAATATTCCAGCAATATCACGGCGGGGGACACAAGATACCCATGTCGGGAATCGAACCCGGGTCTTTGGCGTGACGAGCGAACGCTTTAACCACTAGGCTACCCGACCGCCCCTTACTACAATTTGAAAACAGGCGCCAAAACACTGAAAACTTTATGTCCAAAACACAACTGTGATACCCGAATCAAATACATCACCATAGAAAAATCATTTCTTGTTTGTTTCACCATGAAACATGGGGTATACTTTCTTTTGCCCAGCAGTATATGGCTTTTATTTATTAATTCTTTTATATTTATATCATTCCATGATATGAAAACTCTTTATTCACTTATAATTTTTTAGATGAAATATGACAGTATATTACCCACGTGGTGAAGATACAGGTGGTATGTTGAAATCCGGACGTCACACCTGCGTCGTACAAGGTTGACCTTGTTTTATTCGTATTGATTGGATAACCGTGACCTCTGTCACATCGGAACTACTTTTTTCATTCATAAAAAATCGCAAGACGTAATTCATTTTGCAACTACAAGGCATAACTGAAGCAATCTCATGAGAGCAAGAGATAATTACAAACACTTTATTAAACCAAACAAGATAGTCACACGCATCAAATTCGGTTTGCATTGTGTATAAGTTATGCATAGAGCTTCTACATACATTATATAATCGAGCTATATCCATTCACAATATACGACTACCGACCAATAGATCGAGGGTCCCCATCAGCGTGACGTACCCAACCACTTTCACAATGTTCAATTTGATTTAACGTAAACAGATAAGCGTGGTGAAATGAAGTCAGTTTAAACTAGCTGGTCAGATATCTAGACTTACTTGGGATGATCCGGTTGTGCCATTAGTGTCCCCTTCGAAGGTTTTTTGTGGCGCTGTTTCGGGAGTTGTTTGTTCACGACTGCACGAACAGATCACTCAAAGTGAACATTTCAAATACAAATCATTCAAAAACTCCGTCGAAGTGTACCTGATTTCAGATTATGGGGCCCAAAATATCCCAAATGAGAGCAATAACATTCCCTATCTCAAGTGTAAAACGCTGTGAGTAGATCACAGTTGTCTTTTCTTATTCCGGTGGTGACCTTGCCCTTCTTTCGAAGTTGTCACTGACATGCAAGCAGACTTGAATTTGTTGATGTTCACGTCTTCAGTATAGGGTGGTACAGTTAACATGAATGTCTCTGGCGAACAATATGATTTCCCTCTTCCAAAATGGTACGGACATGATATAAATTCAGCTGACTGATCAAGGAAACCGAACCATTTTGATTGCACAGCCGGAACACCGACAGTGCGAGTGACCGACTGGTTGGTCCGATATTCAAAGCCCGGCGCTAATGTGACTTTTCAAATTTTCTTACAGGTGCCCTGCGTACTAACAACATGGCGCTTGAATTATTATAAGTTGAAGAAATTCTTCCAAAAGGATCTTGAGCGTCGGTGCTGTTTTGTTTGCAAACACAACTGCAGGCGCATGTTGTTAAAGCGTATGCATAGAAATGTCAACAATGCCCATATTTGGACATATATCAATATTCATGTGCAACCAGATTTTGCAACCGGTTTCAGTTTGGTCTGTCAACGAACGAAAGTTGTTTTGTATTTACAATTAAATATATTTAACGTAGGTAATAAATAAAATACCACACTCATTCTCGTTACATACCATTTTTACGAAACTCGTGAACTATCTATGGTATTTGACCTCGCTTTCGCTCGGTCAGATATCATTGGAAGTCCACTTGTTTCGTAAAAAATTGTTATCTAACGAGAATGAGTGTAGTATTCTCTGTGTATACATACTATATGTTTACAATAAACTTTATAACCAAGTTTTCAATCCTTGCATTTATGTTCGATTTTATGAAAATACTGTCTATGTTCAGGTGGTACAAAGTTTTATAACTTCAGTTTTATAAACTAACTTTGGCGAAAGTACGCCCCCTTAATCAACTACACCGATACTTAGTTTTGATTGTTTGTTGTTAAACGCCACACTCAGCAATATTCCGGCTATATAACGGCTGTCAATAATCCAGTCTGGACCACAAAATCTAGAGATTGACATCTTGAGCAACCACCCACGCAGTTGCGATACGATGACATGTGGCTCTTTATTTACTAAATTGTCCAAACTATGTAAATCAACATAAGAAAATGGTGGAGTCTCTCACCGTTCTCAATATTGACGTCTCATTGGCTGGACTTTTATGTTCTAGGAACACCGTTCGCCATGACGTTCAGAATGTCATTCTCGCTTATATTAAAGCGTTTGGCAGTTTTACTAGTTTATAAATATCAAGGTACTTAAACCTTTATTATGGGCGAGGTGTAAATGGGCCAAGTTGCCCGAACACCTATAAAACGTAAAATGATCTATCAATCAATCGATGACATGCATCAACCAAGTCAGTGAGCCTGACCACCAGTCCCTTTTGTCACCTGTTACGAAAAGGATGGGTTGCTGAAGACTTATTCCAACCCGGATCTTCATGGAGCCGATACTTCCTACCATTAGCGGATCAGTTGCCTGTCAGGACTTGACCACACAGATGAAGAGAGGTGAGGTGAGGTGAGGTGAGGTGAGGTGAGGTGAAATTGGGTTTAACGTCGCGTCCAAGATTATTGCACTTATATAGCGACGTGCATGTACGTGTGTGTGGCTGCTTGTACTAGTCCGGACTGATGCCGATTTATAGTGCTAGCTCACTGAGATACCATGCCGCAGTTTAATATTAATACCCCACTCAGACACAGTATACTGACTCCGAGCCGACCAGTCCTTGTTTTAGCCCCTTAATGCCGAGCGCCGGACAGGGTAACAACAAGTACCATCTTTTAACGTCTTTTGGTGTGACTTCAAGCATTGAGAAGATACGTATACAACTGTACTAAATGTCCGACCAAGAATGGCCTATTAGACACAATAAAATACAATAAGTTACATTACAGTAAAATAAATATTAAAATACACACACAGTAAATAAAATATATAAAGCGAACATAGTTTATATTAATAGCTACATACCATCACTCCACAGCAAGCATTCATCATCTACCTACACACAACATGCATACATATACGCTGCCCCCACCCCCACCCCCACCGGACAAACGTACAAACACCCCCTTACAACATCCCCCTTACACGCAAGTGGTTCAATACACAGTGAGTGAGTAGGTGTGGTTGTATAACCACTAGGCTACCCCACCGCCCCTCCATAATCACAGACAGCACTAAAACACGTGTACCATACCATACCCCCATCACCACGCCCGACGCGTTACTAACGAAGGGACGTAACTCTATTGTGACTCCATTTGATTTCAAATATTTTATTACCCTTCTTTGAGTTATGGTGATATTTCATAATGTCTGATTTGTTTGTTTATTTGTTTTCAACGCCGCACGCAATATTCAGCTATATGATGGCGGTCTGTAAACAACGGGGATGATACTACTGTGTTGTGTGGTGTTGTTCTTTTATGTTTGAGGTAGCGAACCTCGAGTCAGGATGTGTTGTGTAAATCCCTATCACTCGTTTCATACGAAGTATTGCATCTTACTGGAGCAAAGACGATCAAAATAAATTTCATTTACAGAGCGTCTGAAAATTCAGGGCAAACAATTTTTCTCGTCAATACAACATCCATTCGAATGTATTTAAAATGTTGATTTGGTGATGTCAGGAGATGGCTAGAATTTGTCAACATGTATTGCATGACTTGTTTGATAGGCATTACTTAGAAGTTGGCGGATGACTACCTATGTTATCCCACTCATGTATGCCCTTGTTGTTACTGTTAATCCTCCACTTGCTATATATATTCTGCACTATGTCCCTCATTCAGTCTTGCTTGACAACGGTATAAGGATCTATACCGAAACGTCGCTTTTTTACAGTATTAAAGAAGTTGTTATCCATAAAATTGTGTCTATCATGTATTGCATTGTTTCATGAACTACTTCAAATAATCACAACTTTTGTAAAGTAACATACACTTTGCCACAGAACGTGACCATCTGATCCTCACAAACGTCAAACGTGATACACAAGCTGGGGACCCAGTCGTATCCAAAAATACATACAGTGAGTGAGTGGTGTTTGTTTTACGCCTTGAACCAAATTTCAGTTATTTCACGGGTTTTACCGGTCTTATGCCTTACCAGTGAGTGAGTGAGTGAGTGAGTTGGGTTTAACGCCGCTTTTAACAGTATTCAATGTGGGAGGAAAACCTGAAGTGATGCAGGTCTCGGACGTTTACCACTTCGGTGAAACCCACGAGCACGGGTATGGTGCTGACAAACCTAGAAACATAATCGGGTCGAACCGGGATTCGAACCCACAATCATACGTTTCTGACGTGGCCAAGGGACGCAACTCTGCACAGCGAATCGAGGCGCCTTAGACGACTGAGCAACCCGTGCCCCCTTATGCCT